ATTGCACAGTAAATAATTTATCTATAGGCAAGCATATCTAGAAGCATGAGGATCAAAACAAAACTATCCATTTGCAGCTCCTTCCACAATTATTGCATATTTTTATCAGACTCCAACTGTAGAATGTGTAGCTTTTTAATATTATATTATTATAAAAAAATTATAATAATCGGAATTAATCTTATTAATAACTCCAACAACAACAATAATCTTCAATTATGACCTATAACAATAATAACAAAAACAACATCAGTAGTAATAATTATATAACAGTTTTAATTTTTATGAATTAAATAACCTTGTATACAAATAGTCTCGGAATAAAATCAGGCTGCCAGAGCCTGTAGACTCCCCACGTATCGCACAGGACACGTTGAGACTGCCCGTAATCAGCACCTTAACAAAATGACACCGTCTGGTACGGTGCTATTAATATGCTCCAACTCCCATGATCCCCCAATTACGTGTAAATGAATGTATCCACATTAGGTTTCGGATCACTGTTAGTAATAATGAAAATTATTACACTTACTATTATACTAACAGTATGTAGTTTATCAAAATAATCACATAAGGATTTTTATTTATTTTGTACAAGAGTACAGTATCAGTTGATTGAAAAAGATGTTAGATATACACCATTACTATATCGAATATAGTATGTACAGTAGTTGTTTATGTTTTTTAAAATCATTATCACAATAATCAGAACACTATTTTTATTTATTTCGTACAGGAGTACATTTAGTTAATTCCAAAAAATGTCAAGATATATTATTATATTACTAGATTTAACATTTCAAAGACAATGTGTGTTTTGATGTAATCTTGAACAATAATATTTAGAATTGCAGTAACTTTTTATCAAGTTATTACAGTAGTTTTTAATTGAAAAATTATAATAAAGAAATATTTACTTTGCCAAATAAGAAACATTTCAAAAACAGAATCCATATTCTTTGCTTATTATCTTTGTCCTCACTATAAAATTTTCTTTGACCAAAAAAGTGTTGTATGCCCATATATAGTCATGATGTGCCCATATATGGTCATGTGATGTGATGTCATCATGACCATATTTAGGCATGTCACATGTTTCTGTCAAATAAAATATGACAGTCTGTTCAGGACTTTAGACATTGGCTGGATAAATCAAGAATATTGCTAAAAAGTTCAGTGAAGATTTAATTGTTTCAATTTGATAACTTCTTTGTGAAAAAATTTAAAGATTCAATTAATCATTTAAAGAGTTTTTCTGGATTTTACCACTAAGTATACAGTATTTGCCTTTAACCCTCAGTTAATCACACCAGGTCAGTATAAAAAAATTCTCAAATACCATTTACGAAACAGATTACAATTTTTAGGGGCCACTCTGTGTTATCTATTTTTTAATTAAATGTGGTTTGGTTTAGTCATCATTCTATGAACAGGGAATCTGACCTTTATGACGAATAGTTTGTTGTACTAATGATCCAATACGCTCACTCTTTGTTTCAATTAAGTCACAACTTTCCTTAAAAAGTTGTCAACAATCCACATGCAACGTTTGTTGGAATGTTCTTAATTCAAGATTCAAGCTTTCACTTTCAGCTATAAACAAACTTAATGAATTTCATATTGAAGCAATTTCAGATTCACACCTTTTAAAAATTATATATTTTCCCAGTTAATAATATTAAAATTGATTAAAATATCACGTTACCTGTAAAATACATTATTTTATCAGTTAGGAAAAATATTTAGTTTAAATCAATGCATAAATAAAAAAAAAACTTACACATTAACACTTGAATATGTTTAAAAAAGAAATTATATTAAATATTACACAATAATAGTAACAGGTATTAAACTTTATTAGGATTACCTACCTTTCTAGAATATATATCAACACATTCAGTTAGTAATCTCCTTCATAGCTATATCAATCACTTGTTCCATACTCTTCTAGATGTCTGACTGAGAAAACGGTGCGATTGAATCAGATATGAGCCGAGACTCAACCATTCTAGGTAAAAGGGAGGAAATTTAATTTACAATACGGAAAGGAAAGACAATGCATATTAACTATGAGGTAACCACTACCTTGTTTTTTAAACAATAATTTCAACACTGGAATAGGAATTTTAATATAATTAATATTTCTTACGAATGACATGAAGTGAAACAAGACAACTAAATTATAAAAGCTCTCTACATTATAATATTGCTGAGGGAAATTTTTGTTTTAAAATTAAAAACATAATTTTAATATTAACAAAATGAGATAAACCTTTATTATTACTATCAATTTCACAACATTACATATTCCTCTTTTTATTTCCCTTTTCAACCAATGACCTTGAGCTTCAATGGTGGCGCTAGCAGAGCAATTTTCCCCCTCTCTAACTGGCGACGTCCAACGTTACAAATTTGTCAGATCAAAATTAATAATTCGCCTATCCAAACAACGGTAGTTTGATTGCCAATCCCTAACACTATGATCTAAAAGAACAATTTGGACCACTATGGCTGCGTTCAGACCTCAGATATACGCCAGACGCATCCAACGTAATATTTGTATTCATAATTTGCGCATTTTATTTCTGTTTACATCTAGGCTTATTTTGATTGTTCAAATCCGGAGTTCAAAATCACTGATGCGTGACTGTCGTAAATCAGTGGCGTACGCTAATCTGGGGTCTGTTGCTGGATTACCACTGGATTAACGATACGCTAGCGTAAGTCGTTTCCTACCTCGGATTGTTTATTCCGAGACCCTGACCAAGGCTCTAGTCACGCCTTCGGTTCAGACCCCTCTGTCAGACCCCATCGGTAAATTTCTGGAGCCACTGCTGTTAAGCTCCATGCACAAGTTTCAATATATTCCTAAAATTTCCTAGCATTGATGTACTACTGTATCATTATAATTTAATGGAATACGTTTTTCCATAATGAGAAACATCTTTTTTATACCTTGTTTCGCAAACTATTGATTTAAAGATTGTCAGAGGAGAGCGCAAAAAAATAAAAATTTAATTTTTGTTTGCATATTTAGCAAACAGTTTTGCCATAAACATCCAGAGAAAATAAAAATAAATTGTTATTGGTGAATGTAAAAAGTGTAGTAATGGTATGGTTATAAATGCTTTAAATTTATATAATTAGGGAGAAATATACAAATCTATTTTTTGAGATTTCAAGGCAGTAGCGGGCATAATAGAAATAAAGAAAACCTTTTATTTTTTCCTAAACTTTCCCTATTTTTGTGGCAGTGGGTGCGCTATTTGGCCCAAAATTAAATTTTATTTTTATTTGAATTCATCGTCATTGGCTGGCAACGGGTCAATAAACAAGGTAAACAAAAAGTGTCGCCAGGGCAGTAATGCAAATGAAATCATTAAACATTAATGTGATAACAGTAGACATATTAAAAACATTGAGATAAAGCTTTATTATCAATAAACACATTATTTCACAACATTATTTCATCCTCTTATTTCCATTGTGAGCTAATCTGAGCTCCATACACAAGTTTCATTTTTTTTCAATTTTGTAGCATTGATGCACTAGTATTATAATTGCAACCAATTCTTTTTTCAGAGGATCACACAAGCAAATAAACTATCAATCCAGACGACAGGGTTTAGGCCTAGTATAGGAAAGAATGTACCTCAGGGAGAATAGCGACTCAATGTAAACAACTGTTTGTATCATCAATATATTGGAATACGTAATATTTAATTACTGTATAAATATTGACATGTGTACTATGAATGTAAATGATTCAATAAAAGATTGAAGGTTTACGGTACTGGCACCCAAATTATAAAAATAAAGCATTTAGGCCTAATTTCTAACTTTAAAAATTTAATATTATTTATAATACAAGACAAAAGGCAAACAATCATGGGTTGGATTGTTCCTGTTTCCCAACCAAAGATTTGATGCAAAGCAAACCAAGCCTGCAAGTAAAAACATACCAAGCTCTCACGCTTAAGGACCAAAATCTTGCGCATAAATGTAATATTGCCTATAATAAAAAAGATATGTAGAATTTGTAGCTCTCTTGCTAAATATTCATCATCTACTGTACTTAAAGTGGGATTGGTTTTGATACATTCCAACACAAATAAATGGTACACTACACCAGGGTGAAGTTTGGTTTGTTTTCTACTTAACTCTCATCCAATCGAATGGAGCTGCCTACAATATCACGGGCCAGGCACGATGCACAGGTTACAGTTTTCTGGCAGAGTAAATCATGTCAGATACAAATTTCTCAGAGAATTTTACAATCAAGTAGAGATAATATTATTTTTTCTGATGTCTCTTTCATTATTACAGAATTATCATATAATTTTACTTTCTTTATTGGTATCGCATGTATTCTTCAGTAAAAATTTAAATATGTCTCTTAATAGTTTTTCGATCAAATCAGATAAAACTAGCCGCATCAATAGGATCAAAGAACACACTGCCAGCTGCCACGTGCGCAGCTCACATCAGTGGGATATAGGTACCTTCGATCGTGGACAACAGAAATACGCATTCTCAACAGATTTTCGGTTGTAAAAATACAACCCTAAAGTAGCAACGAATACATTCACCGTGTATCTTGGGGAAAACAATTTTTTTTTCGGGGGGGGGGGAAGGAGTGGGCATGTCCCGGACACTCTCCCCTCGGGAGGGGTTCTTATAATTAAAACAAAAGTCTCACGCAAATTAGGCCCTAGGCCTAGGTCGAACTTGTCATGGCATGTACATACAGTACCTGTAGGCCTATATTATAAAAATAGTCTCCATACAAAAGAAGGCAGTATACTTAATTCAGTCTCATTAACAAATGAACACATACCCACAATATATTATTTAGGAGGATGGTCTCATAGCATTCAGTTGGGCCTCTTGTCTAGTCTAGGCTAGACTAGGACTCGTCGAGGAGAAAGGAGGTTTGAGTAAAGTGGCCACTGAGCTCCTGACAACTGCATTGACAGGTAGTAGTACCGTACCGACCGCCACCATGAGATGAGCTGCATACCCGCAGTCCATGGATCGCACCTGACCGATGGCAGATGCCTTTACCCACACCATTATTAACATTTTTAGCACTACTCGTCATACTTCCCGTGTGTAACTTCCTGAATCTAATAAAGTAGACCCTTAGGGCTAGGCTTAGGTGGTTTACCCATATATGAGCATGGTGATGTCGTCACACACATATATATATGCATGATGATATCATATCACACATATAATTGTTTGGATGGTGTCATATCAACTGGTAACTTACAAGTATGTGTCACACAACCAGTGCCACCGAGAGGGAAGGGCACGGGAAAAGATCCCCGGGGCCCAAGCTTACCAGGGGCCCATAGAAATGATACTATCATGGGACCCCCAAATAAAGATGTGTATAAGAGACAGGTCCTACATTGGTGGTTATTATTATTAAATCGAAGTAAATAATGGATTTTCCTTAAAATTCATTCAAGTATTCGTGTATGTATGGCATTAGAAGAGATGGAGAATAAACCCATTGTAACATGTATGTTGAATTTTACTTCTCTCCTCAATTGAAATATTTTTAAAATAATCACTGTATGCTAGGCTTGGGTTTCACGGGTGGCCTAGGCCTACATGGAAATCTAACAAACAAAGGGAACGCCTAGGCTCCGCCTTTTGACGATACGATTTTGAAAGGAAGTGATCATCTTGTACTTTGCTCACAAACACAATCATTCAAGAATATATTCATCACCTTGTTGGGGTGCTAGGCCTATATAGACTTAGTAAAATTGTTATGTTATGTATTATAATAAGGACCAGCATTCTAAGTTAGCAATAACTCAATTTAAAGGTTAGGTTTTGAGTGCACCCTCATTAAATCATCATAATTCTTAAAAATGCTGTGTAAACAACTGGCATTTTTTATGACTCATATTGTACACTGGCTTTATTAGATACTGTCTCTTTGCTTAATACATTATGATGGCTTGAATTTAGTAAATTAATTTTGAGTTAAAATATTCTACAAACAGGTCATGGAGAGCAGGAGCTGTTTAAGTCGATTCATCCTGAGTTAATACAGAGTCTACCAAGAGATCCTGTTGAGTGGCGCAGGTAACAGTAGTATTCAAAGATGTGCTTTCTGTCATGATCTAAAAGTACAAGTTTTTTTTTTTATTTATTTTCATAAATTCGTTGTATACGAGGTATAGGTAAGGACGTTACTCCCAATAACCATCTACAACACATACTCATTTCATATTTGAAATAGGATGAATGAAAACTGGCTTTAGAAAAAGATTTATTCATGTTTTATCATTTTTCAGATCATATGGCCGTGCCCCTAAGACCATATCAGTGGATGTGCAATTTGTGCCGTTTTCAATAGATATCTTGCAGTATGAGGGCAGTAGACAGTTGTTACATCAGTCTTTCTTCCATTTATACTGGACCGAATGCCCTGTAAGAAACTTCCATTTTATGCAATGATTACAAAATTTAATTAGTAGCAGAACATGGGTATATTTAGTAGGTTTGAATATTTCAAGTTGGTACAATACTGACGTTTTCTATTATAGTTGTTTTTTGTTGATGATTTATTCAAAAAAAGGTGTGCTGAACATAGATCTGCTAAAAAAAAAATTTTTTTAGCAGATTTTGAACATGTTTAAGTTTCTAAACCTCCCTGGACCAAGTAAAAATTAAAAAGCTGTGTGTGCCTATAAAAAAAAAAGTAACTGATTTGTGTCACTCACCAACATTCTTTTTTCACTATTTGTTTAGGACGTTGATGCGTACAAGATTGTTGTCAAAGAAGAAATTTCAAAGTGGCAACAAACGCTGAAGGAAAAGAACATCTCTGATTGGATGATAGTTCTGGTGGAAGCAAGCAATCCTAAGCGAGGGCAGAAGACTAAATTGCTGCCTCGAACTTCGGTGTTTGACAAAATAAAAAATGACTTTTGCAGTAAACAATCAGATAGGCAAGTTAAAAATGAATTTAGAGTAATTGGTGATAATAGTGACGTGGCAGGGGTGGTGACGGTGACAATCATGATCATGATCACAATGATAGTGGCAGTGAAGATAAACATATTGATAATGAGTTTCTCTTTGTTGCTGCGACTTGCATTGGATTGTGGGTATTTATTCTCATCTTACAGTGACATATTTAGCACGTACAACATGGAAATGATATTCTGATTAAATCTTGTGCACCTTAGCTTGAAGGGTCTATGAAACAATTGCACAGTTACATAGTTTCATTAAAAAACTTTTCATTTCTCTATAGATGTATAGTTTTGCATGAACCTAATAATCCAGTACCATCAGTGAGGTCACAGGAATCATGGACGGTGTTCTTGGGTCGTCTTCGTCAGCTCATACTGACGTCATACAACCGTAATTTAGGAAAGTTCGAGGAAAAAATGCGAGCAGAACGTGAGCGACGAAATGAGCCTGGCTGGGATTTCAACCAGTACTTCCTTTTACAGGTTTGTTTTATTTATTGATATAGAAATCAGTGTAATTCAGCAATCCCAAATTTTTATTAATTAATATTGTCCAGTAAGTACATAGATGATTTGATAAAATTTGATGTACTATAAATGCAGTGTTGGTATAAAGTATGTTATTGAATTTGGCCCTATAAATTTAGTTCTCTATATTATTGAATATGACAAATGGAAAAGGTAGTTAAGATTATAGGAACAGAATGTGAATCTCGTTGTGCACTATCAAATATTACTGTATATGACAAATATCTGTGGTTTACCCATATATGAGCATGGTGATGTCGTCACACACATATATATATGCATGATGATATCATATCACACATATAATTGTTTGGATGGTGTCATATCAACTGGTAACTTACAAGTATGTGTCACACAACCAGTGCCACCGAGAGGGAAGGGCACGGGAAAAGATCCCCGGGGCCCAAGCTTACCAGGGGCCCATAGAAATGATACTATCATGGGACCCCCAAATAATGGCCCTCAAGGTTGACAGAAAACAAGAATTGTGTTGCACCTTTGGTGCAATTATTGGCGCGCCCCTGTTACAGTTTCCCCTCTTGGCGGCCCTGCACATAACACATGATAGTGTGGATAGAGCTATATAACTAACATATTAGGCAGTTTTCGCCGCACTACCTAATATTACCATATATGTATTTACAGGAAGAGCTTGCATTTGTGTACGAGATGCTACGGCAATATGATGAAGCGTTAGTGCAATATGATGAACTTGATGCACTTTTCTCTCAGTTTGTCATCAACTCACAAGCTGCTAGTAAGTACACTCCTAAAGGAGGCATTTCCAACAGATCAGAGGAAAATAAAAATGAATTTTATTAACAGTAATATGTATTCTCACTGTAAATAATCAAAACATATATACTGTCTGTTAAAAACCTTAATTTAATTAAAACAATGAATTGCATATTTAAAAGGATCAAAATAATCTTTTGCGTCAAATAATAATCAGTTTTTACTGATATACTGAGGTTTTGTTTGAAAAAACTTTTACTACAGACATACTTTTTATTATCGTTATTATTATTTGTCCTAAAGCTCTTTATTTTAATTTTCTAACAGAAGCACCTGAGTGGCTGAACAACTTCAATGGTAATTGCACACGATGGGATGGTTTGGATTTATCTCGTCCTATAAATCAGCAAATTAGAGAGCTAATAAAAACGGGTAAACCAACTCTGCTGGACATTAGAAACTACCTGTTCTCTCGTCAATGCGTCCTTCTGCTGTTTCTCAATCGACCACTTGAAGTGGCCAATAGGACGATAGCTTTCCTTCATAACTGTGTTCAAGAGTTGAGGATACTTGAGGTAATTAATGTACATAGTTTTTATACTAAAAATTAAGAAACTTCTATTATTTAACTTTTGACCAAGGATTAATTTTAATCAAGTATTTAGAGCTTGGTTATAAAAAATTTTCAAAATTTTTTGTCAGATTGCTTTAAGAGCCTCATAGGAGATAAGTTGACTAAACTTGTTTGAACCATTTTGACTTTAATTTATATTTCTTATATACAGTATGTTGAAGTTATACATGATAATTGTATGAAATAACATGCTTGGCTTCCAATCATGTCAACCAAATTCTTACAGATTACCATGCCAACAGGAAGCGTTGATTGCTGGGTGTTGTTGAGCAGCTTAGAGATTCTGGACATGTGTGAGAAGAGAGCTTCGGGTAACTACCGCGAGTCCTATTCATACTATAGTGCAAGTTTACGAGCCTATGCTCAGAGTAAGGTATGAAAAGCTCCTTGAAACCTTTATCCATACTTCAAAATATATCAATCATACTGTGGAATTTATTGGATAATGTTTGTGTTGTTGGCGTTTAGTACTATGCTTTCGGTTGGAAGTGGTGACTATTCTATATTGACTTAAAATTGATGAAGCACCTATTAAAATGTTAAAGTTAATTGCCACCATGGAGAAAATTTAAAAAAAATAACAGATAGACAAATTTATTTACAAAAAGAAATGTCTAAAGACAAGTGAGAAATTGTTCAAAACCAGATATAGGCCTATATAGTTTACCTAGATATGTACTTTTATGTATCATAAATCACAACAGTAAGTTCTATTTAATTAACAAGATTATGCCTACCAAAATCTCTCTTTTTTTCAGTTGCATCAGCTAGGCCTACTTTGTGGTTTAATGCCAGATACAGAACCAACTTCGGAGCAGCTTAACATGGTGGTTGAATTGCTATCTGGGATGGGACACCTTCAGCCGCTCCAGTCTAAAAAGTACAACTCTCAGCAAAAATTAAGAGAGGCACTAAGTTCTAAAGAAGCTTTCCAGAAAACATATTTAGTAAGTAACAACTTGGTTTATTGTTACTGTAACTAAATGTTCATCTTCTACAGTACCTTTAGGTATCAAAATACAAATCTATCATATATATATCTATAATCTATTTTTTTATAGGAATTGTCAGAAATTGCCATGGGAACTTTTAAACATATTGGGAGGCAACGCTCGGCAAAGATGATGGGCAAGCATCTAGCCTCCTTTTATATGTAAGTTACAAATACATTTTTATTAATTATATTTCAATAATCTGTTAAAACGTCTGTAGTTTGTGGCATTGACTGTCTATATCATCAGTAAATAATAAAGCAAAATCAACAAATTGTAATTTTAATATTTTATTGAATTCGGCTCACATCACGAACTAACACAATTAAATTCAATTGTGTTAGTTCGTGAAATCAAAAAAGCGCGTCAAAATACGCGCTGTTGTTGTTAAGGACTTTTTGTGTGGTAAAGAACACAAAATTACTTGACAACCAATACGCGCTCGTTTTGACGCGCTACTGTGATTTAACGAACTAACACAATCTACTTTGATTGTGTTAGTTCGTGACGAATTGTACGTCTTTACTTAATTAAACATCTTTGATTAATTAATTTATATCTTTACAGGAAGAGAGGAGAAGCAGCCAAAGCTGAGGGATTTCTATCGGATGCTTTAAAGGTTTACGTGAAGGAGGGCTGGAAGAGTATAGCGATTGATACACGTAAAGAACTAGCAAAATGCCAAAAGACAATGGGAAATACAAACAAATATCCTTTAATTTTGGAACTAAATATTTTAAGTTAGCAAAATTTAAGCCATTCACCAACAAACAGAGTGCTGTATAACTACTGTACTTAAAAAGTTATAGCCTGTTACCTTGCCAGACTATGCCTGTAACCAAGATTCCTCAAGGAGCAAGTAACTGTGACAGCCAGAGTTTCAGAGGGAGACTAGATGTCCTGAAACTCTGGCTCTCCTACCCTAGGGTCAACTAAAAAAGCTTTGATGGGGTCCAGGGACAAAAGCCCTTGAGCTGAAACATTGTAGCATGTAAACAGTGAATTTTAAGCATAATTTTTATGGTATTTGATGCAACGCTGAGGAAGGATGGTTTTGTTTATTCAAGAGGCTTTGATTGAAAAAGCGGGTTTTAGTTATTGGCCTGCTTGCCTATTAGACACTTCACTTTAATTGCTTCGTCCTTCAGATTGAACATTAAGCTGACAGTACACTCTACATTATGGATCTATGCTCTACTGTATCTATTAAAAAAAGGGGTTTTAGAAATTAATTTTTTAACAATATGTTCTTAACTGTGTCATACATATGTTAAATCATGCGCTGTACTTGCCAGTGAGATGGGGATATCTAAAGCTGATAAAGAATATTTCTTTAATGAAATGATGGAGGCTGCCGAGAAGCTAAACGATGCTGAGGATGCAGGTGAGTCTAGTTGCTGTAAAAGGATTGTGTCTTTATTTATTTTCAAATGCCTAAAAAAACACAAACAATTTAGGCAGATGGAGAGCTTACACAGATACAAGGTACATTAATTGCTATTCCCAGAGAGATTAAACATTATTAATGATAAATATAAAACAAAGGTAAAACAAGGAACCATGAATAACTTCTCAGCAATCCAATACATAAAAATATAAATGAAATTCCTAAATTACTCAGTTTTGTCAGCATTTTCATGCAAAGAGGGAGAGAATTCTGAGCTACAGATAATCTGTTTAAAAAAAATAAAAATTTATGTACAGTATATCAATTAAAAAACAGAAAATTTAATAATTAAAATATGATGTAGCAGTAAGGCTTTTGGTTTTGATATTAAAATTGTGCTTGGTATTTAAAAAGTAAAATTATAATAATAATATAACTAATTCATTATGATTGTTATTAATTTTACGGAAATTTGTTACAGATTGTACAATTGGAAATGCTAAATTGGTTAACATAGTTAAGGCACAGGATGATATGGTAGAAGGTAATAACTATGAAAAGTTACTGTATGGTAGCAAGTAGCAGCTAACCATGGTGGTGGTAGTAATGGTTTTGGTAATGGTAGTAGCAATTGGTGATTGTAATGATGGTAATACAGTAACAACATACTCTATAAGGTTGTAGTACCCAAATGGTGTTTAATACATTTAATTACATATAGCACTTTTTGTTCTTCTTATAGAAAGTAACAAAATGTCATTGGAAGAGGTTTTTACCATTGAATCAATGAATATCACTCCCTCTGATGGTAAATTAACACACGGACAGGAGGCAAAAGTGACCATCTGCATCAGAAGTAGATTTCCTGAACCAGTCACGGTCGACCAAATGGTATTCTCCTTAAGCTCCGACCCAATCGACAAGTCACCCATGCCAACTTCTCAGAAGTTATTCCCAGGGAAGGTGTCCTCCCTGAAGCAAGAAGCTTTTGCATTTGAGGAGGAGGTTCGTGTCTGTGATGGTAAGGAGGAGGTGGAGGCCAGTAGCTTCTTGTGTGTAAATGCACAGAAGGCCTTGCAACGTGAGGATAGCTCATCTTCACTGATACTCAAGGAATTGGATCTGCAGTATAAAGACTACAAAATCAAAGTAGATCACGAGAGTACAGTTCTGGAACCAGGAAACAACACTTTAAATTTCACATTTGAGGTAGGATATCCTGAAGTAAAATTTTACGTGGAGGAAGATTTTCAAATTGTATATAATCCCTTTTCAAATGTTCTCTGTCATATGCATGCCCACTGTAAATATTGTCACCAAGGTAAATATCATAATTGCAAACCACTGCTTTTACTTTGCAATTAGGACATTTACCTTGGTTGTGACAATATTTACAGTGGGCATGCAGATGAGAAAGAACAGTTTAAAAGGTAAATGTCCTAATTGCAAACCACTGCTTTTACTTTGACACTCAAATTTATAATTTATAGTTGAAACAATTAAATATTTCTGTATCCTTCACCACTTTTGTTTTTATGTGTGAGTCATTGTCAAAAAGGTTGTGGTTTCGCCTGTCAACCTTGGTGTTGGGTTGAAAAATTCTATGTTTGCCCCTCTCCACCAAAGAATATAAATTGGTACTGGCATCATAGCGAAGGTATAACGGACTTCGGTTGGAGGAGTGGCAAATCCCCACAGCATTGCATAGTCTGGCCCAAACACAAAGAAATGAGAGATGGCTACTTTTTCCAACTCAGAGTTAAGTTTCAACATTACCTTTTAAAATTTTAACTTTGATGTACGTTTTTTTTTTTAAAGGCTAGGGAGAATGGTAAGATAGAAGGGCAACAGCTGTGGTTAAAAATCAAAGGTCTAGAGTTAATACTTCCAAGGTTGACCTTTGACACAAGATTCATAGTGAACACCCAGGAGCCAATGGTTGTCATATCAGCAAATAATAGTAAGTTGCATCCATCTCTGTGGTTGGCTTTGATGCCTTCCACAAAACCATGCACACCTCATTTTTATGCATGTACAACTGATGATTTTATGGTATGTTTTAACATTTATTTATTGTAATTAGGATTTATGTATTTATGTACATGTCTATGTAATACTTGTCTGATTCAGATCACTCCCTACTGGCTGGAGTTCCCCAAGATCTGAAGCTCTTCATATCAACAGGATATTACAGCATCAAATCATGTGATGCAATTTCCATCCAGACCATTGGTCAGCTTGAGATTCTAAAGTTGGAGGAATCAGCATACAACATTATGCCATGCAGCAAAGGTGCTGATGTCAACCTGCCAGAAACGGCTGCATATAGTGAAGTTGAGCTGGCTATGATCGTGCGGGCACCTCTAGCAACAGTAGGAGCAGGGAACATGAATAATGATGAAACATGCCAATTGGAACAAAAGGTAATAATAAGATTGGCACCTACACTCTTCCTCTTACCCAAGCCCTTCACCCCTCCTCTTTCTCCACCCTTCCCGACAGGGCTGCTTAGCTGTTGGCCATATATGTTTTAACATAGGCCACCGGGCGACTGTGAAGCCATCAGTTAAGTCCTGTACACACTGCACTATCAAGATCCCTGCGACACTTATGGGTGTGATATGATATAAGATAATACTCACTGAAAATTTTGTAGTGTGAACAAAACTTTCAGATGAGAACAAATACATTTCTCCCCGATCAGTTGTATGAGGTTCATATAATCAAACATTTAAACAATAATTATACCCATCCTTAATTTTCATTTGCTTTTTTTATGCCAACTAATTGTTACCAATTAATGTTTTAAGATGACATTATGGTGTCCTTGGGCTGAGACCGTAGTCTCCACCCTGAGTTTCCAGCAACCATTCAGGATAAGCCATCACCTTAGGACTGCTGGCAAAAGGTAAACAAAATTAATATATTCAAGTATAAATTGAACATATCACAGTACAGAAATTGGATGAGATATGATAACAATTAGCATAACACATGCAAGGAAGTACCACCGGTATGGGCAAAACTGCAACCAGAATCTGATGTGGAAACAACAGTGTAAACGATTAATATAATACAGTATAAATATTATATAATATCACTGTGTACTTCACATGTGTATTATTTCTCTCAGCTATACATAAAACACAACCATGGGCTGGTTTTAACTACATTTTGCTACTTGTAATTCATGTATTGACATTTTTACTATACTAAACAGAAAATTCATTCAAGTTTCTGTGGAAAATTTGTGCTGTGCTAAGTTCCGGTTGACTGATCCGGAAATGAAGTCACTCGGCCAGACATCAGTCAAGTTGCAGAATTTGCATCCACTAACGGAAAAGGTTGGAAAAATAACTTTTGAAATGTTTGTCAATTATATAAATAAATGAGAAAATATTACCTCTCTTTCATGTTCGATCCCAATGGCCTTCCAATTACCAGTCAGTTGTTTTACCAACTTAGGCCTACTACTTATTTTCCTAATAAACACGTGTTATATACTATGCAATCATTTGAGGAATTAATTTTCTCTTTTTTTTTAAATTAAATTTCTGTAGCAAAGACAACACTAGTCATATTTTAGTAACCATGTTTAGAAGTGGTTCTGTTAAAGATGATAAAACATTCAAATATTCCAATAATAGACACTTCCAGGGCGTCAGTCAAACTTGACAACTAACCAATCAAAACAGGGCGAGAAATACGTGTGTGTAACACAAACACGTGATGTCCCACAAACGCACACATTTTACGCGATGCTAGAACGGAATCTCTCATGCCTGACCCTCCTACCTGGCGTCCTATGTTCTCTGCAAAAGTAGATTTGGCCAAATTGTGTTCCAGAAACTACTCAATGAGGTCACCTTAACTGCACACATGCGCAGATGACTTTTAGTGACATCATTACGTTCTACATCCTACCGTTGTTGTGCAATCGAAAACTCCCTGTTGTCGCATTGTGGGACCTTAGCAACAATATCCAAGTGGCGGGGCTTAGTGGAAAGGTCAATTAGCCTTGAACTACCAAGATTTGTTTGCATAGGTAATTACACTGGGAATTAAAAATTTGAAGAGAAAAACAATTCTGTTTCATTCATATATTTTCAATAAATTTTCATGTATGCTCATGTTGTAATATTAGGTGTTGCTGCCAACATGTACCATGTCCTACATGTGGCGCTTTGCTGTTAGTGACAACTTGCCTAGGGCTTTGGAATGCCAGTTTTCTATTCAATATGAGCTTATACATCCAGCACCACCCAGGGAGATGGCGCTACTACACACATATAGTTTCACTTTAGAGGACTTCACAGTAAGTGAACATTATTGATACTTCATTACTTAATATATTTTTGTGAGTTCACCATAGTATTTATTAAATAAATGTATGTGGGAATGATTACTATAATGGTTCATTTACCTTTTTTGAGACACTTCAAATAGTATTCCCATGTTTACATGTCATGATTTTTAATGAGCCAGCATTTATATAAGTGAGGGTACATATTTCACCACAACTAATCACTGAATGAGGTGTTGGGGATGTTTACATCCAAAAATGAATGAAAATCATGGGTTTCATGCTACTATTAATTTATACATACTGTATAGTCTTTCTATATTACAACCCAATGTAGACACAGTACATTGTCAGCTCTTCCGTGTCACCAAGCAGCAACGATGCAATGTGCCGGGCCGGGAAACTCTGCAATCTACAACTTCATGTTCAAGTGACTGGGGAGCATCTGGAAACGAATACACCACTCATGTATGAAGTGGTGACAGATTCCAATACGTGGGCTGTGTGTGGGAAAAATAACGGACTACTGAACATAGAGGAGAATTTGACTGAGGTGTCGTTGCAGGTGATACCACTGACCGCAGGCTACTTGCCACTGCCAGCTATCAAGCTTAGCAGGTATATGCAGCAGGATAGAAATCAAGGTAATACACTGAAAATGATATCTGAAGATACAGTACAACACACACATTTACACAAGTTCATTAGGTTTAGCAGATCTGATGGAATAATTGTCACTCTGAAAAATACTTAATACAATTAGGACTCATTATTTTACAGTGCAATAAGACTGTTGAACCACCTAGTGCATAGAGACCTGTATTGTGTGCTATATATACATCCCACCTGTTATATTTTGGATGTAAATCTACAACAAAACAATATTTCTAATATTATTATATGATAGAGCATTGCAAATATAATATATAATATATTGACTATGCATTCATACTGTAGTGAGGTTGTCCTTACCACAATCATGATTTGACTAATTATGAAAAGCATTTTAGTGCTTTGCTCTCTATCGGTGATCAAGTCATCTTAGAAGAGAACTACCACATTTTACATTTTTCCAAGTCAAAAACATTTTGATCATTTACTCATTGGAATATCGCTATTCTTTTTCAGATGCTCCTCCAACTAAGCTCACAATGACCAACGTTGATAATGACACATCAATAGAAGATGACAAATTTGACACACCTGATTGCTGCAATCAAAGCTTGCCATCGCTCCAGGCCTTCTCGCTTGGCCAGGTGTATCTCAAGAGCCATGCCATGCAGGTGCATGTGTTACCCGAGAACAATGAAAGCACAGTCAATATAGTACAGCCATAGCAATGTGCGTATTTACACTAAATGTTCATCTGTTGCTGAAGGGATTGTACTGTTGTTTACTGGATTTGATACATACTGTGTAATCTGAAGGTCTTGGGTTTGACCCTACACAATACACTCCATTACATCCACTGTCGCAAATGATTACCTATATAGTATCCAAGCCTGGTATAGAAACTTAGGTAAATTTAAAGTACAGTACTCCATTCCCTTTACCCTATATAGAGACTTTGTTAAATTGAGTATCCTGGGTCCCAAATGAATAGCAGTGCACTACCTCAAAACCTAAAGAAAAATTGGATATAAGCGTGCTAGCTTAGCTTAACCATAGGTCCACTGTGTGTGAGCACCTCCTGTCAATTGTGTAAGAGAAAGTGCCTGGGTGTTAGATCTGTGCATATTCCCTATAAGTCTCTGTGGTTTAATAGCGCAAGGTTGCAGGTTTGAATCATGAACACTTTATATACATATTTTATTTGCTATGATATTAATCTTAAAGATTTAATACAGTTTTAATTATTTATTTAAATTATGCATGTATTGTAAAAGCATGTTATTTTTCCTGTAAGAATATATTCAATAAAGTATATAATGTGATTATGTGTTATTTTTTTAAATTTTATTCAGGTATAAGAACACAAAAAAAGTCAGCAGTACAAGACTGAAACAACTGAATTTACAATATGAAAAACATATACAAATGACACAATTCAAAAATAATCTAAAAAAAAATACAATAACAAATTTACAATTCAGTAACCTATACAATATTAAATTTAATAAAGATAGAATAGATATAAAAATTATTTACAAAATTATTCAGATTATCAAAAACTTGCATTAATGTCACGGCATAAATGGCCATAACACGGCAATCAATATCAACATATGTAGTTGTATTTTGGTTCTATATCTGCTATGTGGCTTACAAGGATAAAGTGTGCTGTGGATGTTTCATTAATATATAATTCTCCATAGCAGGATACCGTACTCGCACAAATAAGCGCCAGGGTGCTTAAAATGTTTTGTGCCCACTTTTGTGGGGCGCCTATTCAAACAGGGCGCTTTTGAAAACAGATTATCACGCTTATGAATCACAAGATGTTTTAAACAATGAATAATTTATTCGAGAGGGGTGCTTATTCAAATGAGTAGGGTATATCTATTCAAAAGCACAATTATAACATTGAACCCTGGTGATGGGCTACACAGACATGTACAACCCTTTCCCCTCCCTAGGAGTTTTGCTATTAATTCAGCATCAGACATTGCATTTTAACACACTTGTATAACTGGTCCTGGTATAGTCATTTATAATGTGCCTCTTGAGGTTATAAAGCTCAGTTTTTTTCGCTGGTCATTGAGTCCATATGCTTTAAGTGTTGCTGCTGGTAATCAGCACAGCAGCAGGCAACCCCACCAGGTACCAATTTATACTCCTGGGTGGAGAGAAGCAATGCAGATAAAGTGCCTTGCTCAAGGACAAAGAACTGTTTCTGCTGCGCTAAACGCTTTCACACTATCCTTGGACAGTGGTGTGGAGAGGAATAGAAAGAGAAAGTACCCCAGTGCCAGGCACTAAAACAAGAGTTTTGTATAAACTTTTACTTAGACATCTACATAAATGCTGGTAATTTGCTCATGCAGGCTTCCCCAAACCCCAACTATTGCTCTTGGCAGATCTACTCTTGGTTGGAGAGAAATGAATGCTACTCGCGTTGGGCTCAAAGTGCAAAAAGAATGTTTAGTTTATACAAGTTGGTTGGAAATTGGCTGCCTTTGTTTTTTGTTTTAGGCAGTGAAAGGTGAACAACTTGCATGTTTAATTTCAGCATATAATGAATGTACTCCCACAAAATATCAAACATAATTAAAGTAGGCAGTGTTTTCTCATAAAAATAATAAACAATTCAATCAGCATTTCATAAAAAATATTTATTTTTTATTTACAAAATTACACATTATTATCATTTGATCTGAAGAATATTAGTAAAAAAGATATAAATTGAGGAGTAGGGTTCCAAATTGTTAACTGAAGCCACTTCATAAAGAATGCGATACGTAATTAGGTTCATGTGGATACAGCATCACCGTTTCCTTTTTTTTCATTGCAACATTGCCGAAGGACACAAGTGGAATTGCTGTCTCTTATACACATCTAGATAGATATCCCACTCTGTCTCTTATACACATCTAGATGTGTATAAGAGACAGCTTTCACACTATCCTTGGACAGTGGTGTGGAGAGGAATAGAAAGAGAAAGTACCCCAGTGCCAGGCACTAAAACAAGAGTTTTGTATAAACTTTTACTTAGACATCTACATAAATGCTGGTAATTTGCTCCTGCAGGCTTCCCCAAACCCCAACTATTGCTCTTGGCAGATCTACTCTTGGTTGGAGAGAAATGAATGCTACTCGCGTTGGGCTCAAAGTGCAAAAATAATGTTTAGTTTATACAAGTTGGTTGGAAATTGGCTGCCTTTGTTTTTTGTTTTAGGCAGTGAAAGGTGAACAACTTGCATGTTTGATTTCAGCATATAATGAATGTACTCCCACAAAATATCAAACATAATTAGAGTAGGCAGTGTTTTCTCATAAAAATAATAAACAATTCAATCAGCATTTCATAAAAAATATTCATTTTTTATTTACAAAAATTACACATTATTATCATTTGATCTGAAGATTATTAGTAAAAAAGATATAAATTGAGGAGTAGGGGTCCAAATTGTTAACTGAAGCCACTTCATAAAGAATGCGATACGTAATTAGGTTCATGTGGATACAGCATCACCGTTTCCTTTTTTTTCATTGCAACATTGCCGAAGGACACAAGTGGAATTGTATCTAGGGGGTAGTTAAAAATCACCTTATTTTGCAAATTAGCGCCCATCAACTAATCACCGAGCCCCCCCCCCCAACATCAGCACTATCAGCACTCCCATTTGAAGACGTCTAGATATCCCACTGGACCCCTGACTTCAAGGTTGGAACCACAAAGACTGTTGATCATCTCCCAATTGTCACGTTTATCATGATCGCCATAACAAGCCTCTAATCTTCAGTATCGGTGGATGTTTACTGGGCTTTGTGTCCTCGGGTAATTCTGTGATTCCTAAATAGTCCATTATCAGAGACACAAGTTGGTCAACCTGCCCTTCATTTGGGATCTCGTGCCAGAGCTTTAAGAGGAATGCTGGCAATGATTTAGGAAGATTTGCTAAAACTCGCTGAAAAGAGTCAAACTCTTTGTTCTGCTCGACAATATTCAAAAGCCAATACGAAAAGGCATTCCATTGTGGTGGTTTCTAAAACAAAAAGTAGATAAATTCAAAAGTTAAATATTTTGTTTCGTTTGATTATGTTTATTCGTTTCATTATCTTTAATGCAATTCATCGTTTATAAAGCATGGAAACCTATCACTGGTTTTGAGAGACAAGAGCTGAAGTCAATATCAAAAGATATAATAGCAAGCTGTTTAGACAAGACATTATTTTATACCTTGTTAATTTTTTCTTGTTATTTTTTTTTAAACATTAGAGGAGGGCGGAAATAAGGTAGAAATAAAATTTTGTTTTCTTATTCAGCAAATAGTTTTTAGAGAAAACAAAAATAAATTTTATTGATAAATGTGAACACTGCAGTAATGGTGGTTAAATGCATAATTAGATTGTATAATTAGAAAGAAATATACATCTTATATTTTTTAGATTTCTAGGTAGTGCCATTCATAATAAAAATAAAGAAAAACTATTTTTGTCCCCTGAAATTTCCATATTTTCGTGGCAGCGGGTTCACTAAACAAGGTATAAAAATGTCTTGCCTTTTAACTAGGTCACTGACACATTTATAGATCTAACTTAGGTTACTGCAAAATAGCTAATCAATAGATGGAGAACACATATTTAACATGCACCAAAGGATTAATTCTTTAATGTCAGCTGACCAAAAAATAATAGCTAGGTTGATGAATAAATTGCTGGGCTTTACCGACATACACTGCTGCGTTGTTGTACTCACCATTATCTTTGATAGATAAATATTCTCCCCTGAATCACCAAAGAAGTAATTGACAGAGATGCAGACATCAATAGAAGTGACCTGATGCCACCAGAATGCTGGAATAAACAACCTGAAAAAAGGCATAATGGGAAATTCAGACTGAACAAACTTCGGAGGATGGTGCTTGTATTCAAAGAGGGGCCAGAAATATGAAAGAAATCACTGAATCCATTCATTAACACTGAATTGAAATTCATATTATAATCATACTTATAATTTATATAATCTTGTAATTAGAATTATTGTCATTTTCCTGATCATATTCATTGCACTGTTTTCAACATCATCACTTTCTTCATCAGTATCCAGTGGCATATCCAGAGGGTGGCGAAAGACTTTCCATTTGATAACTTAACCATGAAATTTTTACCTGTTTACCATATGCATGGAGTGAGTGATGGTTGGCACTGAACCTTAAAAATAGGCCTAGGCTTTAGTAACAAACAATGAATTTGTTGGCTTATAATGGCCAAAATCTATTTTACTTGCACTTACATTTGTCCTGGATGTAACACACACTCATAACAAACAGCATTGCAGAAGTTTGGATGGTGTTTAAGGTCAGGGTCATCGCAGTTCACCTCTGCTTGGACAGTCTTGCCCTTTGACCCTAAAGGGTTTGGGTACATAGTTGTAAGATCACAGCCAAACAGTTTTACTCGCTTGCGACCTTTAAGCATCACCAGTAGACCGTCATCGGGATCAAAGTGGCAATATTCTGTAACAATACAAAACATTCATAAAACATGTTGTTTTCATTATAAAAATGATATTAGGTGTATTAGTGATAACATCCATGTGTAAATACCGCTTGACTGAACGTATATAACTGCAAATCCTAAAACCACATTCTTCTCAGGGAGCATTCAATAGTTATGTTCAGATGGCTTTTCATCTGAAGTAAAGTTACAACAGTTACGAATTTAAGCGCACGCTACTTACGATGAGTGTTCACATGATGCTAACCCAGAGCATAATGCTTTTTTACTTGTCAGCTATTTAAAAGCTTAAAATAACTCTGCAAATTTTCTGTAGTGATAATCGCTATTTCGTTGTCTCTCAACGTTGATCTTGCACACAAATTATTGAAATTGTAAACAATTATGAAAACATCATGTCTACCAAGGTTTACACATTACAGGAAGTGTTAGTTTAGCACTCATTTGTAGGTAATTATCTTTTGAAAAAATTGTAGGTCATAATAAATGTTGTACTTGCGTGCTCCAAAGAAAGTGCACCTACACGGCGCTACCCTGAGCGCTTACTTCTTACATTCCTTGTGTACATGGAAAAACACACTTACTCCAGAGATTGCTCAGGAGTAAATCATCTATAGTAAGGTAATACAAAGAGCGTCGTCATGGGCACTACCCAGGGCTTACGACAAGTAAACTGCAACATTAAAGCTAGTTCTAACTTGTCTGAACGTGCCTAATGATTTAATAGCTTTTTTTTTAACTCTAATCAAACAGCAACTAAATTCAATTGAGTATTTTCTGTACCGTAATGCCCCTTTCTTGCAATCCACATAAATGGGCCACCATGGACTTTACCAACATAACCTGGTATTGGCACATCTTTCTAAGAATAAATAAAAATAAGGCATATGAGCAGGTTATCAGTGCAGTAGCTCCAAAAAGGGAATGGGGTGTGATAGCTGCATACTCCTCACCCCTCCCAAATTGGGGAAGATGCACATCTTTAAGACAGTCAAGATTTTACTGAATATAAAATTTTGTATTTTCTGTAATAAAGATTGAAAAGGAGTCGTAAATATTTAAATCTTAACCAGGAATCTGGCATCTAAATTTGCCATAGTAAGAACAACTTGAAGGTTCAATCCAACTGGCTCTGCCCCCTTGATCCCAGTTGGTCCACCTGTGCAATCCTGGCTACAGCCCTGTAAATGCAAACTAAATATACAATTTCCTAAAAAATCGTGTTCAATGACTTCATATTTAATCTAATAAAATCTTGAAATTTACCAGTAAATCATATAAACAGATATACACAATGAGCAGATATAAAATTTCTGAAAAAACTTTTCACACAAACCTGAATTTGAGGAAAAGCTTTCTTGATATTCTGCACAGCTAGATAGGAATTTATAGAGCGGTTATTCTTGGCTTTGATGTCATTGATGTATTCTCGTAGCGTGCTTTCCCTTATCTTGTAAACCTTTCCAGCCTGAAGAGAAAAGAACCATACTGGCATTGATCACAGTTGCATATCTTCACATACTGTATTGTCACTTCATGAAAAAGAACACATATTTATGATCTTTCTTTTTAGGAAGCCAGTCTCAGTTTTTCAGTATTTCTAGTCAATTGTAACTATTATTATGTTAGTGCACATTATTGTTTGTTTTAATCTGAGGCAGGTAAATATTGTAATGGATCATGGATATATAAAAATAGGTAAACTATGGTTTTGAAGGCTATCTAATGAAGTTGATTACGACGTAATGGATGAACATTAACTAACCCTATAATCTGTTGAATTTGTATTTTGGCGAACAAATGTAACATTGTCCCCAGCCCGTTCACAAAGCAAATCAAGAGTCCAATTAGCCGCTGGCCACTTATCTGCTACATCTGTTATTACCACTGGAATGCCTGTAAAAAGCCATTAAGCATATGGCGTAAAGATAGATAATTAAAATTGTATCATTGTACAGTAGTTTGCTTGCAACTTTTTTTATAGCCAGAAATAAGCCATAAATTCTCTCACCATGAACCCACTAGACCAAGGCTCTTTGAATCCAACTCCGCGACTGTATCTGTGAGTGATAGACGATGCGACGCCATTTGCCGATTGTCGGTGGCAGTCTGAACTGATCGCCATTAAAAGTAGTCTGTTACGCGGGTGTCGTCGCATTGCGTTCTTTATAGAATCGACCGTCGTGTGCGGTGAGTGCCCAGCTTTAGTTCGGACCCCCTGTTGAACTTGAATTACAGACAAACGGGCCGAAAGACAATCGGGCCCAGGTCGATTGGGCCCATTTTCGGAACGCTTGGGCCCAGTTTGAAAGGGGGCCGGATCTTCCTGAAAATAGACCCGATAGCCTGAAGATAGGCCCATCGTCAGATAGACTGTAGGCAAAATAATTTCAACTCATGACTGTCGTTTGTATTTGTTGATGTTTGATACACTGAAATAAATAAATAAATAAATATATGATCATTTTAATTACGATTCTTAATATCTGTATGTTATATAAATTTAGAACGCAATAATGTCATGAATTAGAATGGAAGTGGCCCGATAGTCTACACAAGGTGGCACAATCATCTTGGCGTGGACCCTGATCGTCCACGCTAGTTGATCGTCTGGAAAAGGACCCGATCGTACTGGGCCTCATCGTCTTGTGGGACCGATTGTCTGTCACCCATTACACTTGCCTAATATCAAAGAGTATTTTAAAAAACCCCTGCTGTCTGTTCACTGTTTTGTCATTGTTGCAGCACCACTCACTCTGTCTGGGTTTATTTAGCCTAGCCTCCCTAAATACTATCCTGAATACTGTATATTGTACATTTACAGTACTAAGCACACTTACTACTATAGTGGCTATCACCCAACACGTATTTTAGAATAAAACGAGGCTAGGCCGTGAGTGCTCCACTCCAGACCTACATAATTAACCCACAGACAGCCAGGCATGCTGCACAAACATCATTACTGTATACCTACTGGGGTTGTAGGCCGAGTTCACTATCACGCCTAGCCTAGGCCACAGGATTAAACGTAGCCTAGTTCAGTATCGTTAGCATATTAAGCTAGGTCTATGTCTCAGTATACTTCAGGTTATGACAGAAACATTCCAAACCTTTGAGAAGAAAATTTTCTTTAAATACATCAACAGACGGTGCTGAAATATGTTCGATTTCAACAAACTTCTCATCCATGTTTTTTCCAGTCGTCAGTCATCCGTTACACAAGTAATCCGTCTATGGGCGGCGGAGGTATGAAACGCCAACATTGATTTGTGAAGATCAATTCAAAACATTGTCAAAAGCTTTCATTGAAATTTTGTTTACAAAATTAAACTGACTAGAAAACATTATAATCTTCGAAGTCGGTGTTTCAATTTCTCGCTGCCACCCAGGTAAGGACCTGGCGGGGTTGCCTGCTCAAGTGCGCTGATTACCAGCAGCAACTCTTAAAGCATGTGGGCCCAATGATCAGGGAAAATAACTGAGGTTTACAACCGCAAGGAAGAGGTTCATTAATGCCTATACCAGTACCAGCAACAGCCCATTTATAATGGCTGGGAAAGTCTGTATAAAAAGACTGGAAGTGCCCCACCCCACCCCACAGGCTTCACCCCTGCTGAATCACCACCGCAAGGACTCCAACACATCTTTAAACTTTTTGTGGGTTATCCTTGGTGTACCGAATAAATCCATTCCAATATTTTCTACGCCAGTTATTTATATAAAAATATATTGTACAATTCTCTTACCAAAAATAACGGTCGGTTCTTTCAAAGGTGTTTGGATGATGAAATGCTTGTCTTTTCCAAATAAATTACGCAATTTTCACCACGATGTCAGCATGCTTAATCGCATAAGACGATCTTCGAATTTTGCCAATGTTATTGGACACCAGTGAATGGTTTTGTTTATTTTACTAAAAGATATATTAATGGGGATGTGATCAATATGTGCTGGTTTGTCTGTTAATTGCTAAGAAAAAGTACTAAAAACGGATTTGAATCTGAACGATGTGCGCGAGTTTGGTCTTTGAGCGCAAAAGTTTGGGAGTGGCCAATGAGTATCGCACAGAATTCACATGGCTTAGTAGGAGGTAGGCCTAACCATTTACCTGCTGGGAGATTGAAAGAAAAGTATCTAAGAAATGAAGCGCCTCAGCTAAGGACACAAAGAAGTGGCTGTGACTGTCTTGATTTTTTTTTTGTTGTTGTAAGACTACTACCACTGTACCATTTAGCAAGCACTTCATGTTGCTGATAAAAAACATACACACTGAACACATTTGATTAATGCAAAAACGAACATATTAGAAATTACTAACATATACAAGATTTATAAGTTTATTCCTCATAACATGATCAAAATAGAAAAATGTTACCTTTCAGAGTCAATGACTATATTTTTCTCACTATATCTATAGCTTTCGGTGCCTTTAGGGTACCTTCATCAGCTGTCAAGTGGCGGTTCAACATGTATTTTATAAAGGCATGTTGAAATAAGTGATTAAATTAGAACCATAAGAATCTCAGTAGGGATATAAAGCCATCTTACAGCTAAAATTAAACATTATAAAGACACATTAAAAGAAGCTAAAGTCTATAATTATGATAATTAGAAAAACTTAGCAGGGAAAAATCTTACCAAAATTGCACAACAAAATCATGTAAATTTTACTATGAAACATACAATTAAATAAAATAGAAATTTGTTCAAAATGGATCCCTAGATTTACAATGTCAGCAGATACAGGTTCTAAGTCTTTGTTCAACTAATAAGTTTGATTAAAGTATCAGTGTGCTAAGAGGGAGCTTTCAAATGCAGGATGACGGTAGCAGGATCTGGACGTAATAGGCGTATTCGACCGGTCTGTTTTGTTTTGTTTTGTCGTATTCGACTGGTCGCACGAGCAGCACAAACTCCTCACACGAGCGACTTGACCTCCTTGCTGTTTTTTAACGAGCACACTCCGAGTAGTAAATCACTCCTCGAAAAAGGACCAGTCAAATACACCTAACAACAATTTGCCCTGAATCTCTATATTGTGCAAAAGCAGGACAGTCACGGATGAGTGAATCCGTTCTAGGGTTAAGTCAATGTGCAAATCGGAAGCTTTATATCATGAGTAAATTCTTGAATCAGAATTAATCCTTAGGTCAGTAATAAAATATTAATATTCTCTCTGTGATTTGTTGCAATGTAGACATAACTTTTAATGATATTGTGCTAGGTACTGATAACAATCTGTCTCTTATACACATCTAGATGTGTATAAGAGACAG